TTTGAAGGTCAATGGACAAGTGCTGCTACCACAGCCTGAGACGGGCATGGTGATGGAGGCACAGACCCCCAGGGATGGAGCGTCTGGTCACCCCTGACCCCCAGGTAAGCGACATAAAGCAGCAGAGGCGCTAGCCCAGGTGAGGGGTGTGGAATGGGCAGAGGAGGCAGAGGAATATCAGTTGTCAACTGTGCTCTGAGGTCAGCTGCAGCAGAGGGGCTGCAGTCTGATCCAAAACTCCACCTCTCAGGAAGCTTGCCAGGGACAATTGACCAGTCAGAATCCTGGAGGAAGTGGAATCAACAGGGTGACAGACACCTGGATCCCCCCAGAGACCGGGGTGCTGGCTGTGAACCACCCTCCTCTCAAGCCCGCACACCGGCCCAGGGCCATAGCCCCTCCCTGGGCAGCTTGTGCTCAATGACTTGCTGTGTGGGAGCACAAGGGCCCGGCCCCTTGCCTCACTTGGGGACAACTCAGACAGGCCACCCAGAGCCCCCCACGCCACCGTGCACCCCAGCACCGCAGGTGAGGTGTCTCCCCTGCCTGCAGGGTTGCTCCACAGAGCGAACGCAGTAGGCCTCAGACACTTCCAAAGCAGCCCTCTGTACCGTGGTGGTGGTGTGTTTCCCTCTCGTTTTCTACTCACTAATGTCATCAGAGTATGACCTCTCACAATTTTCACTGAAATAGAAACGTCTACTCTGCATTTAGCTTGAAGGTTTTCTTCTCCCTGTCATTTCAGAGTTGTCCCAGGCTGACTCCTTTTCCCATACAAGCGTCCATGAACTTCACTAGGGTTATTCGTAATCTCTGACACAAAATAAATCTTGCCTTTCTTTACAAAAATCTTAACTTCTCAATGATAAAGCATGTGCTATTGTAGATAGTTTAGATAAAAAGAGTTAAAATTACATAATTCCTCTACTCAGACATGACCACTTTAATATTTTCATGTCTTCTACCTTATAAGAATTCCAGTGCAAACTGTATTGTATTCTGCCTTTAACACCTGACAGTGTATCTTAAGCATTTATTTCCCTATGTCTTTAAACATTCTTTCTAAAGATGTTCTAAAGGTGGTGTGATATTCCAAGGTTAAGGCTGAGTCCTAATGCAGTTAACCATTCCCGAGTGCCAAGCCTTTAAGCCAGCAGGTTCTGAATGAGCCAGGGCCAGTCTAGCCCCAAGAATGACGGGGTGAAAGAGCAAAATGCTTTCCACTCCAGAGTGAGGACCCAGGTGCGTCTTTGTTGGTCCCACACGAGGTCTGTGTTTTGAGAAGCCTGTGAACCTTTTGAGGGTGGAATCTAGAGTCTCGTGTATCCCCAGAGCACTGTTTCTCAAAATGTACCTCTGGTTCATGATTTTGGATGGTTTACAGGTGAACGTTCTTTTTTAATTTCAAGACTTGTGTATATTATCCTGGACTTCACAAATGCTATTGCTTTGGACAAGTAAAAAGCATTTTAAAAAATGAGTTGATAGGCCCAGGAGCGGTGCTCACGCGCTGTAATCCTAGCCATGCGGAGGCCGAGGTGGCGGATTGCTTGAGGTCAGGAGTTTGAAACCAGCCTGAGCAAGAGTGAGACCCCGTCTCTGCTATAAATAGAAAGAAATTAATTGGCCAACTAATATATATGGAAAAAATGAGCCGGGCATGGTGGCGTATGCCCTGTAGTCCAGCACTCGTCGGGGCTGAGGCAGAGGATCTGTGAGACCAGGAGTTGAGGTTGCTGTGAGCTAGGCTGACCCAGGGCACTCACTCTAGCCTGGGCAACAAAGTGAGACTCTGTCTCAAAAAAAAAAAGAGTTGATAACCACTAGGCACGTGAAAAGATTCTCATCAGTAATCATTAGGGAAATATAAATCCAAACCATAATGAGATACCACTGCACACCCATAGGATGGCTAATAGAAAGAAAAACACAAAAAAGAAAGCAAGCATTGGCAAGGATGTGAAGAAACGGGAACCCATGTGCATTGCTGGTGGGATTGTAAAATGGTTAAACTGCTGTGGAAAACAGTATGGTAGCTCCTCGCAAAATTAAAACATAGTATTACCATATGACTCAGTCCACTCTGAGTACATACATAAAAGAATTGAAAGAAGGGACTCAAACAGATATTCATACTCCAACATTCATAGCAGGACGATTCACAGTAGTCAAGTGGCTACAATGGGTGAATGGACAAATAAAATGTAGTACATACATACAATGGAGTATATTCAGCCTTAAGAAAATGGTTTGGCACAAGCCACAACACGGATGATACAACATGGATGAGACTTGAAGACATTATGCTAAGTGAGATAAGCCAGACACAAGGACAAACACTGTATGACTCCACTTGTTTGTAGTATCTGGAATAGTCAAATCCAGAGATAGAAAGTAGAAGAGAGGTTGCCAGGAGCTGGGGAGGGGTGAATGAGTGGTTAATGTTTATTGGGCAAAGAGTTTCCTTTTAGGATCATGCAAGTTTTCAAAGTAGATAGTAATGATGGTTGCACAACAATGTACATGTATTTAACGCCACTGAACTCTACATAGGTGATTAAAATGGTACATTTTGCTATGCATATTTTACCACAATAAAAAGTGAATTGATGTAAAGAAAAAAATTAACTACATTGCTTGATACTTTATTATGCTACAAAGAATAAAAACAACAACAACAACAAAAAATTAAGTACAGATGATGTGGCCCAAATCATCGAGGTGGTATGGGGATACCCAAGTTTGGAAAGCACTGTCCTGGCCTCACCCACAGTGTGGCTATGAATTATTTCCATGCAAGTGAAAAACTTTTCTTTCAATGCTCTCAAGCAAAACTTTTTTTTTTTTTTTTAATTTCTATTTCTGGCCCTGAAAATGTTTTTAAACCCTCCGTGCTAAACATACAGGTAGAAAGAGAGTAAAATGTGACATTTGTTGAGAATCTATTTTGTACAAGTGTCACCGGTGTGAAGGTTCTTGCTAATGTCTCGGAAAGGAATTTCAGGACACAGACACAACCGAGTGACAGTGGCAAGTTTATTGAGCAAAAGTGACAGGCTCAGCAAGGGCTGTGCAGAGGGAAGTGGAGAGGTTCAAAACGAGCGCCGAGCCCCGAGCAGTTGCTATTTTTATTTGCTGAAGTCAAAGAAGGCTGGGCGGTCAGTGTGCATTCTGTCCAACCTCAGTTCTTACAGTTCCCCTGCTTTGCACACAAGGGGGGTCAAAGCCACAATGCTAACATTGCTATATCATCGTGGTAGAATGGGGGGAAGTTACTTTGTACCTGTGCCTGCGTCATGCCGGGAAATGAATGGCTCCTTCTCCTCGGGTCAGCCACAGATCCGCAAGGCCGTTTGTTCGAGTGGCTACCTGACTTTTCTATTCCCTCCTCTCTTGTTCATACCTAGGTGACTACCCGCTGGAACACAAGTGTTTTATGGATTTACTTAACTTAATTGTAACACTGTGATGTAGATATTAATCCAGATTCACAGAATGGGAAACTGAGTCCCACTATCATGTCCGGAAGTGGCCAGACCAGCACTCTGCACCAGGCCCTGTCCGCCTCCACATTTGTGCTCTTTCTGCTACTGCACCTCACTGCTTCCTGCTATCCCATTTCACTTTCTTTCACTGGGCACTGCAAAAAATCCTACCCGTTTGGAATTTTGCATCTGCACGGAATTAATTTGGAAAAACACAAATTGTGGAGTGAGTGGTACCTAATAATGGGAGCAAATCTTGTCCCTCACAGAAGGGTACACACACAGCAAAGCCAGAAACAAAACTGGACACCCACCTGGGGCTCCTGGCTCTTGTGGTTTCCTCATTTCTGAGTCAGACATACTGTTACGTTCCATAGGAAGACAGACACAACACATACTCACCATGAAAACTTGGGAAAATACAAAAGTGCATAGTGGAAGAAGCCCCCAAACCACAAAGCACCAGTCATCGCACCACCTAGAAATAACTACAGTTCACATTTTGGTTAAGATAGTTCCCATTTTTACTGTGCATACACATATACACAATGTGTTTTAAAAATGGGCTTTACAATATAAAGTTTTATCACCTGGTTTACAACTAAATATATTGTGAACATTTTCTCTCTTCTATAACAGTTAAAATAATTGCATAGTTTGGAGAAAACATAATTTATTAAGCAATCTCGTTGGGGAAATTTAGATGCAAGTTTCTTCCAAGGAGACTTCATCCTTCTTACAATGCCTTGAGAAACAAAGAAAGTCCTTGTCTTGTACAGCTTTTTATGGATGATGGAAACTTGCCCGTCAATTTAGCCTTTTAACTTGCTTCCCTACTCCCATCAAGTAGCCTATTTTCTCTCTTCTGATCCCTCTCGCCCATGTGCTTCTCTTTCCTACCGGATCTCCCTGGAACACGCGCAGACAGACTTCCATCACCCCATCACTCCGGTTCCTGCCCTCCATTTCCTCTTCTTAAAGTCCTTCTTTGCTTTCAAAGACATAATCTTAATTGATTTTGATCAACTCTACTCAAAACTTTATCCTCAGTTCCACATTAGGATTAGCCTTCAATAATCTGAAGACAGAATTCAATTGTTTAAAAGAAAATATTAATAAGGAGACCTTGGTAGAGTTACATATATCAAGAAACATAGGCCGGGCTTGGTGGCTCACGCCTGTAATCCTAGCACTCTGGGAGGCCGAGGCGGAGGATCGCTCAAGTCAGGGTTCGAACCAGCCTGAGCAGAGCGAGATCCATCTCTACACTAAATGAAAGAATCAATTGGCCCCAACTATATATACAGAAAAATTAGCCGGGCATGGTGGCACATGCTGTAGTCCAGCTACTCGGGAGGCTGAGGCAGGAGGGATTGCTTGAGCCCAGGAGTTTGAGGTTGCTGTGAGCTAGGCTGATGCCACAGCACTGTACCCGGCCAACAAAGTGAAACTCTGTCTCAAAAAAAAAAAAAAAAAGAAAAGAAAAGAAAAGACACATAGGACTTGGGCATAATGTAGAGATAGCTGACTTTTTTTTTTTTTTTAACATGTCTGGGGAGAGAGCACGGCAAAGCTAAGAAGCAGCTGGCACTTTAAGGAAGTGTTAGGTACCATTATGGAAATGTATTCATTATTTAAGGCAACTAACAAATGATCATCTTCCAGTTAGGACATTGGAGCAGCAGTCTTTACCAGTCATGAAGTTCCCATGGTATCTAAACTTGTATTTCCAGAAAAAGTCAAATGCCAATTAACAGTAACTTTGTAGAGAAAGGCAGATGCCAGCTAACATAAATGTGATCCATGCAGACAGTGGTATTTCTGGAGTCCGGGAAGCATCGAGCTGCTCATCCACCACATGGCCACCTGGAAGGGAAGGGGCACCCGGTCATTAAAGCAAACTCCCCAGCAGTTTACCCTGCCGCCCACACACGGCATATCTACATGAGCCAAAAATTGGTTTGGGCCCAACATCTGATGAGGACAATATGCTTATCGGATCAACAGTACTGACCACATGAATTCAGACTCCCCTAAAAAACTCTTTTAACACAGGTTGCCACAGGCCTACTGTTATCTGCTCTTCCGGGGACATTCTCATACCTGTACCCTCTCCAGCAGGCGATGCCTTCAATTGCGGGGATGGGCAGAACCTGGCGAGGCTCTCATAAGGGGACAACACATGCTGGGCTCCAAGTTCCAGGAAAACACAGTCGTCATTCAACCCACACTTACCAAACACCTGTCCTGGGCCTGACACACAGGATGCAAGTGACAAAGACACAGTCCCTGCCTGGGCTGGGGCCTCATCTGTACCCAGTGAAGTGTCTGCTTTCATTTACTTCCTGGACTTGAATATATTCAATTTCTAATACCTCCACAGGCCAGAACTATAAGAGGCCTCTGAACTCTCATAGTGGCCCTAGAAAGCTGGTCAGGGTGGGAAGAGTACCTCTGCTCTGCTCTCGTTCTCCCTCCCCTCTAGGTCCTGCCCTTCTTTTCATTGCTTTCCTCAAATTAGTTTAAACAAAATTAATAAGGTGAAACATTCTGGGACCAGTCGCAGGGCTGGGGAGCAGGGGGGGGGGGGCTATGCCAGGGCCTTTTAGGCCGCAGGAAGAAGTCCCTAAAGGACTAGCGCTGAGGTCAAGCCTCCGGTGGAATTGCTGTGGGGGCGGGTTCTAAGTGCATTGCCCATCCTGGAGATAGTTTGATTCCCCGTGCCCAAAGCAAAGGAACACCAGAGAGCAATTCTTGATTCAACGGGAGACCGGGCCTTGTTTGTTTTCCTCAATAAACGTTCACACGTGCTAACATGTCAAAGAGGCAGCAGGACCAGCCACATTTCTGAGGAAGTAAGAACCAAGCACGCCTAGGTGACCATGTCATCTCAGTGCTCTCGGGAGCAGAACTTCGGTTGCCAGGCTCTAGCAAGCCACGAGGTACACGGAGAGACCCTGGTAACCAAGCACCCCGAAAGGCAACTAAGTCACCGGAAAGGGCGTAAGATAGAGAACTTCTGCTTACCACACCCGGGGAGAAACGGCTGAGGAAGGCAGCGGAGCTCACCGCGCCAGCATCTGCACATGGAGCACTTCTTGGGCAGCCAGGTGTCATGGGGCATAGCCCCACAGTTCCTGAGAACGACAGCCAAGGCAATGCCCATGGACTTGAAATTTCCATTCTCCTTCCCTTTGCTCTCCACCCCTCCCTGCCCCCGTGAATGGCTCACTCTTTGCGCGCATCATACTCGCAGTTCCGGCCGTAGAAATAGGGGAGGCAGGCACAAAAGGACCCCAGCATGCAGGTTCCCCCATTCAGACAGCAGGTTCTGTTTAGCTCCTTCTCTGAAAGGTAAGAAGACTTGGCTGAGGGTGGAGGGACGGCAAAACAATTCCTGCAAGCAAGGTTCACACAACGCCAAGGACTTAATCTCCCCAATGTGTTTGCAGGTGTCTAAAAATTGCAAACCTCACAGAATAAGACTCTGCAATTGAGTGTTCCTTTTGCTACCTGTGCCTTTGAGCAAAGAAATCATTTTTATGCACAGGCCACTGATGGTTTCAGGAGTTCCCCAGGGAGGCGAAGTACACAATGCCTGTCTCGCGTCTAAAACCAAAAGCAGTCCAACCACCTGCCCAGTTCCAAAATCGGGTGCCCATCCCCTTAGGTGAAAGAGTGTTGAAAAGATACTCCGGAGACATGTGAAGGACCAGGACAGAGATGATTTAAGGCAGGCAGCTCTTACTGTCCTGTATTCCCATAGATGGCACCAACACGAAAGACCGAGGACCAACTGCAGGCTCCTCCTGGGACCGAAGGCTGTCATTTCTGAAGGCCAAGTCTTCCTGAGATGGACGTGTGAGTTTGTGGGCCAATCCTTAACGACAAAATCAACTCAGGGAGTCTGCATTTCAGGTCACATAAAAATTGTTAGTGATCAAAAGAACAACAACAAAAAAAGTCTCTCACCAGCAACTAATCCCAGTTCAAAAGCTTTGGAAAAGGCCATGATCAAAATCACACTAGGAAGAGGAAATCAGACATTAGTTAGCAAAACAAAGGAAATAAAATCCTACAAATTAGCACCTGGGTTCTCTCAGCATGAGGACAAGACCTCAGACCACTAAGGAGTGATTTGTAGAGTGCCACATTTCTTTTATTCTTTTCTCTTTCTTATTTTAAAGGCTAACTCATGTAACCAAGAAATATGTTGATAATAAGTCACCAATATGCAGTTCTTTCCAATACATATTATTTCTTAGGCCCTGTTTTCATATGTGCATAATTTTAAGTAGGTATACATTTTTTATCTTCTATTTTACAACATATATTAATATATATTTTTTCTCCCGCACAGTTTTCATGTAAGAATTTAAAAATGCCTGCATGACATTCCATGTTATTAACGAATCACATTTTACAAACTATTTCATTTTAACCAGTCAAAATGTTTCCACGTTAAAAAAAAATTTTTTTTGCTATTATTCTTAATGATTTTGCAAGTCTTGAATCTGTCTATACCTTTAACCCTTTCAGAAGTTGATTTTTAATTGGGTTGTAATATTGACCTTTGTTGACACAAAACTAGGAAAACACAATTTCATAGGCAAAGCCATTAATATGATTGAAAATGTTAAAAGCCAATGGCAAAGTTAGATGTAACCAGGCGAAGTTCCAGGTCTTTCAGGAAAAACAGCAGCAACGTGGACAACTTTTTTAAGGTTTGAGCAAGGCAAAGTCAAGCAATAGGTGCCAAAACTATTATAGTAACCTCTAGCAGTCAAAAATTCACATTCAAGATTAGCTCATACCTGGAAGAGAAGCGTGCCATCTTCCTGTAGTCCACAGCTCTTAACAGATTAGGGAGGAAGAAAAATGTTAGCATGGCTTAATTCAGAAAGTCATTGTCAAAACACCCAAAGGACAACATTAATGTACTGAAGTGAAAGTGGCAATTTAAAATGAAACACATCTCAGAGGAGAAGTATGCTTTCCCCAAAAGGTCTTAGGAAAAAGATGCAGGAGCCAAGGTGTCCGGGGAAACTGGGGGCTTCTTGGCCCTAAGGAGTGTTTTGACCTTGAGCCGGGGACTCAGCTTTTCTGGAATTCTCCAGCTCCACAGCAAACCCCTGGGGGCGGGGCAGGCCCTCGGGCGGGCCGGAGCATGACAATGCGCGGACTCTGCGGGGCAGGGCGGCGAGAATGGAAAAGGAGGAGTCTAGTAGGACTGCCTAACTAGCGCTAATAGCTCTATCCTTGCTTGCAGGTTAAAAACACCAGATGCACTTTTGAAAAAAGGGTAAATCAATCACTCTATCAAGTTGGTGATTCAGGGTTGGAGGAGTGGTGGAAAGTGATTGCTTTAATTAGGAAAACCTGAACAACGTGTATCGTTCTCTCAAGACATGGGGTATTTTATTGCCAAGTTTTATTTCTAGAAAATTGCTTCCGTCTTTGTTTTTCTAAAGACGGGTCCTCCGCCCCGGGGAGCCTCAGGTGGCCAAGGAAGGCGCGCCCTCCGGCGGTGAGGAGCTAGGTGTGCCAGGGGTGCGACTAGGAAGGAAGCTTGCAACCGAGAAGTTCAGGGTCAGGGGGGTCCGCAGAGACGTGCAGGTTGCAGGCGACCTCAACTGCGAGCGGAGGCCGGAGCGCGCGGCGAGGGCGCAGGTGGGGCGACGGGAGGGGCGACGGGAGGGCCGGCCGGCCGCTGGGGCTCTGCGGTCGGGCTGCCAGGCCTGCTCCAGGACAGAGTTCTAGAAGCATGGCAGGCCATGTCAGCCTTGCCACGGTCGTGCCCTGGCTTTTCTCTGTCTCCCAGCGCCCACGGAGCGGCCTCTTCCATCCCCACGCCGCCCGGCCCCACGCCACCGGGAGTTGCCCCAGATCCAGCGTGTCACATGGAACCGAGAAAGTGTTTACTTGGTGGCCCGGACTTTACAGATTTAGAGGCGCGTCCGCCGGCGGGAGCCTTCTACCATCTCAGCCCTCCGGGTTATTTAATTTGGTACTAAATACGTGCAGAGTCACCAGCAGTTTCTAAACCTTATTTAATTCCAATTTCTAAAGGAAAGCCCGGCTTTTATTTAATTGGCCAGGCACACAAATGCGAGGCTTTTATGCAGTTTTATGCAGTCCGTTTACATCCCTTTCTGCTGATTGGATTTAGGCCGGGCAGAAAGAATGGGTAGCAACTGAGGCCATTCCAGCATCAGTGCCTACCTGTGGGATTGCCCGGGATTCACAGGCACTACTGAGAAGGGCCTTTGTTTACTTCTACACCAGATCTTGGGAGCGTGAAACTTACAATTATCTTTATTGGGGGAATTGGGCCTTCTGCAATCAATGTTGGGACGCAGCGACATTTTCAGCTCAACAGCAACTGACTAATTCCTGCTGCTCTTCAACTCCTCCTTGGGTGGCTTTTTCAGTTTAAACGCTTCAAGTCTCAAGCCGAGATCCCCGGGAGAGTGAGGAACTTGGCCTGCAGCTCTAGGAGGTGGGAGTGGGGGAGGGCTCGGCAGAGGAGAAGGCTAACCCCATAACCCCTCGAGCAGCAGGGACTGCCCTGTCCATTGTGCTAAGTAGGTAAGTAGCGTCAACATTATTAGTTTCACCTTATGGAGGAGGCACCTAGTTCCATTTGGGGATTTAAATGTCTTTTTCTTGGAGACTGGGCCGGCCCGTGGCAGAACTGGCAGAAGGACACACAGCCCTGCACTGCCACTTCCTTATCTAAAGGGGCTGTTTTGGAACTTTTGGAGCTTGAACTAGGAACCCTACATTTTCAGGGAAAGGGACTGAGATCCCCAGTCTGGTGACGCTGGCGTGGCTGGACTGAGTTCAGCCTGGAACCCAAGGGTGCCAGCCTTTCTGCCACACAAAATGCCCTCTCAGCTGAGGACCAGAACCCACTGAAAAGATCCCCATTCCCTGTGCTCGCTTCGGCAGCACATATGCTGAAATTGGAACGGTACAGAGAAGATTAGCATGGCCCCTGCGCAAGGATGACACGCAAAAAAAAAAAAAAAGAAAAATCCCCATTCCCCACGGGTACAGAGAGCAGAGAAAGCAAAGGGGGCCCGGGGTAGACAGAGCCTGGGCAAGTTGTGTGACGGGGAGGGGAGAAGGAGAAGGGTAGGGCTGTGTGCTGTTGGGCTGAGGAAGGCTATTCATTTAACAGTATTGAGTGAGTTACTGCTAGGTTGCTTGTAGACCAGGGCTGGGCCCTGGGGAAACAGTGGTGAGGAGGACCTCACTGTGAGGTTGGGGAGGAAGAAGAGTAATTAATGATTATAATTGTGATTGCAAGATGTTGCTGCTGCCCCCAGATAGGGGAATTGAATGGCTACCCCCGGACAGGACAGCCAATAGACACCTCTGCTCCATCTCTGCTGAAACTGGCCAGCGAGCGCTGTGCCAAAGGGTCAGGGCCAGGGCCGGGGAGCACCGAGGAATGGGGGTTCCCCAATCACAAGCAGCCCTTCCCCTCCTCCCTTATGAAGGACATTAATAGCTGAAAGTGAAAAACAATGGTCTTGGTCTCCGATATTCCAATATTGCCCTAGAGCTGTTGTATATTAAAAACTGGAGCAAGTGAGACAGAATTGTGCTAAAAATCACACAAATAAATTTTTGACTCAAAACCAGCCAACTAAGTAAGAATAATGGGAACCAAAAACATTGCAATCAAAGGACAGACTCCCAGTGTCTGTCTAAAGTCCAAGAAAGAAAACAAACTTGGAGAATGAGATCGATTTTAGTCTTAAAAAGCCAATTCAACCTTGTTTCAATGGTTGAGAATATGTAGAATTAAATTCCAACTAAAGAGTTGAAAAGAACAGCCATTTCTGTAGCACAATGCCAGTGTTTCAAGGTAAAAGCCTCCTGTATCATAGGGCTCCTGGGGACACCTTTTGTCTTACCTCTGTCTTAGTCCTTAGAAAGTTGGAGCAGGCGAGAAGACAGAAGAGAGCAGAGACAGAGCTGAGGAATTATGTGCATATACGTACCCTCCAGCCGAGGAACGGTGAGGTTTCTCTAATCCCATCAAGCTGAGCACGCGGCAACTGCTGATAATACCTGGGTAACACTCCTGCTGGAGTGTTATCCACCCGGCAAGCCCTGCCTAGTTCATTAACAAGTTAATGGCTTTCTGCGCTCACTGGCAGACTTAACAAATAGCAACTGGAAACCTATTGTATTTGCCATTGATCTCTGTGTGGGGTTTAAAAGGACAGATTCCTGCATGCAAAAATCTGCACCGTCAGTGGGAAAGGTGTGCTCAAATGAGTTATTTTAGAGCTGTATTGTTATAGAAGTGGTGTAAGAGAAACGGAAAAGAGCCGAAATGTTTTCCTTGTGTAGGAGCTATATTATATTTCTTCTTATAGAGACGTCATAAATTTTATCAATGAATGGACACGACATGTTTCTACATTTTGTGATGCACTTCCTTGTTCATATGTCTTGGTCAACGCTTAAGAGCATAGTCATCTGGTAAAATTCTAGCACTGGAATTGCTTGGTTAAAGGGTTATTATTTTCCAAGAAGGCTGCCAGCCTCTTCCCCTCCTCCAATGTTGAGAGCTCATTTCCCATGTACTTATCACTCTGGCTGCAATAAGCATTTTTTTTTTCTTTTCTTTTTGTTTTTTTTTCTTTCAGCATATTATGGGGGTACAAATTTTAAGGTTTCAAAAAATGCCCTTTCCCCCCGCCCCCCACAAGTCTGAGTTTCCAGCGTGACCATCCCCCAGATGGTGCACATCTCACTCATTATGTATGTATTGCAATAAGCATCTTAATTTTTGCTAATATGGTACGTGAAAAATAGTGTGTCATTGTTGTTTGGATTTGCATTGTTCCTTGTGTCTATTGGGTGTTTGTATTTCTTCTTCTATGACCTGGCCGGTAGTTCTTCAGAAGCCACTTGAACTGCCTTCTTTGAGACTCAGGCCAAATGTCGTTTGCTTTGGGAAGTCTTTGCTGACACCATTCTCTCTACCCTGGATCCTAGCTGTGCTGAGAACCGCATCCTGGTATCCACTGCCCCAGAGTTTACCTTGTCAACACTGTATTGTAAACTGCTTGTTTTTTTTGTCTTTCACCAACTCTTCCCTCTATCCCTTTTCCCCCTGGACTAAGAGGTCCAGAAACCTGGTTTTCCAGAAATCTTGGCTTCCCCAACCACTAGTGCGGCGTCTGCCTGTGCTGGTTTTCTTTTGGCTAAATCTTACTCCACCAGCCACACTGGTGACAGACAGAAACGTTAAGTCTCAGTCTTATTTTCTAAAATGGAGGTGGGGCGAGGGCAAGGTCTTTGAGAAAGGGCACAGGAAAACAACTTGTTTCCCCAATCCTGAGCCTGGGAATACAACAAAGAATACCCCCTTCCCCCAACAAAGAAGGAAAGAAAGACAAATCCTAAGTATGTACTCTAAGCCATTGTTGATATGCCAAATTCTGGGCAACTTGTTCAAGAGTGTTCACCATGTATGAGACAAGCTAATTTGGATGCACTTACTGGGGACCATGGTAGGGCATGGAAAGTCCGATTTAGAGTTTTGGATGTAGTTTGACTTAGAATTCTTTTATACCCAGGCTTCTGGATGTGGCATGTAATCCCAGAAAGATCGCTGGCTTTGTGCCGCAGAGGCCTGGGGCCAGTGACGGTGTCCACCTGAGGGCAGGTAATCCTTGGGCAAGGAACTTAACCCTTTGGGCCTCATTCCTGCACAGTACAATGACTTGAGTAACATCTCCCTTTCAGTGTTGTTTCTGGCATTAGATAACACATAGAAAGTTCTGGAGACAGTCTGCTGTGTAAGGAGAGCAACATATTTTATCTCCTTCTACTTGTTTCTGATATTTTCCGAGTTTTGATATAATGTTATTATGCACTTGGAACTGTGCCAGGCATAAAGTAGGCACTAAAAAATTTTAGCTATTTCTTCTGAGTGTCATTTTTAATTTTTTTATTTATTGGCTCTGTGTGTGTTTCATTTTAACCCTATAATAGTCATGCCAAAATTTGAAGGAAAAAAAAAGATAAAATTAAACCAAAATAGCTTTCCAACCATGATTCCACCACTATAACCTGAAGAGTCTCCAATAGGAGTTTTA